TCTCTCTCTCTCTCTCTCTCTCTCCCTCTCTCTCTTTCTCTCTCGTCAACCCATCCCAACGCCACATTATTTTCTCCTCCCTCTCTCCGCTTGAGATATATCCACTCTTTTGATGTGAAAATCTGAAAGTCTCCGGAAAGAGATAATTATGAGAAAGGAGAACTCACTCGCATACGGCAACGGTTAACGAGTCCCATCTGGCTCATTAATGGGATGCATTCCATTGCTCTTCTCTCACTCATGTAATTTATGTTCAGAACTGAGAATAAAAATCCTTGGTATCACATACAAAATCACATCACAATAAATGATGAAGTCAAACAACGAATCAGAAATGAAATCGGACCATATTATTATTATGCTGACCTTCTCACTCTGGTCAAGAAACGCAAACCTCAATCGTAGGGACACTTGAACGTTTATCCACCTTGCCAAGATGATCCTGCAAGGCAGCGTCCAGGGAAAAAGGAGTTGAGTCAGACCGAAGAAGAGTTTAGAGGCCTACATCAAGAAATGGACAGGCCTGGAACTCAAAGACACACGCAGGAAAGCTGAAGACCAGAAGGAGTGGAGGAAGCTGGTCGCCAAATCTTCAAAAGCGCCTCGACGGAAATCCAGTCTACGGGATAGGTGAAGGTGAAGGTGAAGGTGAACTGAGAATGCACCTTTTTTTTAGTTCTAGTAAGAGCTTTAATTCACGGCACTTGCAAGGTCATATAAGGGCCCAAGATTAGAGATGTTACAAGGGAGTAACAAACGCAAAAAAGGAGAGATCAGGACGATAGATGTTTGATTGACAGGAAAGAAGGAGCAAACCACACCAGAGCAACCGCCAACCACCCACAACGCACAATTGTGTGGTATCGCGGTGAAATCAAGTGCTCGTCAAAATATTGAAATCGTAGAATCGACATATAAATTACTCCCATATGTCCAAAAGTTGACGAGCATTTGATTCCACCGCGTTGAAATACATGTAACACGTTAGTGTAATAATTCATTTTCGACAGAGC